CCTGCACTATTGGGGACTGAAATAATTCTTTTACCGTTCCTTCATGTCACATAAATTATATTACAGATATCAACAATTGATGTAAAGATATCTTCAAAATTATCAATGATATCTTTAATTTGAACTTTGATATCAGTAACGGTCAGAATTAATGATATCTCTAATTGAATTAATAATATCTTAAACAAATTAATGATATACGTAACACATTTGTGGATATGTATAACTTATTTCAAGATATCTTGAATTGAATTTAAGATATCTTGAATCATTTCTAATATGATTATGTACAATAGGATGGTAACACCGGAAATACCTTGTCAACAAATCCATACTGAAGTACGCAAAATCATCATGTAATTACACTGTCTGACTACAAAAAGTGTTCTTTGTATATCTGGACTTATGTATGTAACTTATTTCATTAATTTTATTCAAAATTCCTTTTAATATTGTTTTAATTAATTTTGGTGAAATCGTGTGTGAAGCGATCGGAAGATCGCACAACTCACCGTTATTAACATCAACCATGGTCAGATTACCGCTACTGACGCCTTGAAACGAACAATAGTTGACAGAGAATGAATACATATATCCTAAATGCCATACTTTGACTCGTTAAAAGTCATATTTGTTAAAGTTTGACGATTCTATGTCAACACGTAGTTCTCGCGATCACGCAATCACGTGAGCCTTGACGGTGACTGGTGAGACTGGTTCCATCAGAAAAATAATAACCGGCTTCGCTTAGGTTTATTATTATTTAAAATATGTTTAGTAAAAGCTGCAACTAAATTAACAAGATATTGGGATATATTATTCCTGCTAAAAAAAAACAGTTTCAGATACAATTTTTGCTGATCCTTGCATTAAAATCCTGTAAAGTTATATCATTGGGTGTGTCTTGACTGAATCACCGGTAGATTCCAAGAAAACGTGTGTAAAGCTGATTGCTTTTTCCAGCTTAGTTTACGAGAAAATACACAAGGTCATCTTAATCCCTAGATGTAAAACAATGCCTAGCAGAACAAAAAATACAATTTAAACGGTAAATAAACATGTCTGGTGATTTTTTTGTCAAAATTTCAAATTTGTACTGACCAAGTTTCTCATCACACGTTCATTTACCGGAATTCGTTGAAGGGGTAGATCTACGGAATAATTTTTTTCTGCACTTGACATTTGATTTAAGCACATTTGATTCGAAATACTGAATCCGCTATAGGGGGGTGCGCATTATACATGGGTGCGCACTATACTCAAGAAAATATGGTACCACTATAACTATAACATTGAAACCTGTGGTTGAGCATCAACCTTAACCAGACACAAATTACATGCCCAAGTATTAGGAGCAACTACCCGCATATAGTGCTGCATGTATAGTGAGTGAGCATCACCGGAATGAGAAGCTGCTTGACTGAGCATTTGTCATTAGTTACACCCATCGGATGCAGTCGAGTATATGACCTATGTTTCTGACCATCAGAAGAACACATAAATATGTACACCAATGAATTATGGGGGAAATATCCCCAGAAACATTATGGATATTTAACTACCACAATGATCAGAAATAACTGTGTTATTAACTGAGGATACCCCTAACATGAAGGAGATGGTTATGAACAAAATTACAATGATAAACATGTAGGACAATCGCTATTATTCCAGCGAGCACAAATAATGACTTGCAGTGTACCTGCTAACATTTATGACAATCTACTTGGCATGCTACACATAGCTTTTTGAATGTGAGCTATGGTATTCTGGGAGGTACCGTACATAACAATCTGAGGACCAATGTCAAATGGTTCTGATATAGGTGGGATCTGCCTCTAATAACTCCCTGTGTAGTTGACAGCAATCCAATACTGCCTGCTGGAATGACTATATTCGGTACCAGATCGTTAGCCTGGTCTCGATGGTCCCATGAAGTAGGTAGCAGCTGTGTGGATAAAGGGAATGTCACAGGAGTGGCGGAAGAGGAGCGGCTTGGAGAATGAGCGACCGACAGAGACAAACCTCTACAAGAAGGAGAGGGACATGGATGCTCTTCATTGCAATGGTGATCAAAGGGTCGATAAGGAGAGCTGTAATAATCAGTGAGAGGATGAAGCATAAGGATAACCACGCCAGGGAGGACATGATTCCAAGTGTGAGGGTTAGCTCTCCTAGCCACCTGGGCAGGGGTCCGGAAACTTTATAATCCCAATCAGACATTTGCATCTAGGCCACGTCCCCTTCAAATAGTGTATTTTAGTACGACTTTTCACACACATTACAAGTTGTTACGTTCAGTGTTCCCTTGTTATTGCACGCTTCAATATTTTGCTAACTCGGTTATAGCAACACTGGAAATACCAGTCAATAAATCCGAACTGAAGTATGCAATTTAATCCTATTATGATGATATCTGGTAATACAAAAATTGTTCATTGTTTATCTAGACTAATGTTTGCAATATATTTTATCAATTATATTAAAAATTGAATTCACTAATTGTAATATTGTTTACAATAATTTCGGCGAAATTGTATGCGAAGTGAACGGTAGATTGCACAACTCACTGTTTATTCCTGATAAAAAAAATAATTTATATCAAATTTCATACTTTTATTGACAAAGTTTGTTATACAGTCGTGCCTCGTTTATACGGACACTTGCGTCATGTCACAATTTGTCCGTATAAACGAATTTCCGTATAACTGAAACCAGCTTATTACTGGAAGAGTTACTTCCCTTCAATTATGCAACTCATGACAGATGACAGAGCAAACAAATACATCCACTCAATCGTTATTCAAGACATACACGATCTCACGAATAAAAGGATTACCACCAGCGGAAGTGTATTGTCCGGGTAAGTGAGACAATTTTGTGTGCATTTCAGTGTTTTGTGTATGAAAATGACCATCCGGTTCCGGAAACTTTATATAGTAATTATTTCGTTTTGAATGAAAATCGTCCGGGAACCGAGGATTCCGGATATCTGAAATCCGTATAAGCGGGACATGACTGTACCTGTTTATTCACCTGAATTTGCTGAAGGGATACGATAACGCTCATCAATTATTTGGACCCTGTTTGTTTTTTAAAATGTCTGGACAGAAAAATTTAGATGTCCAGTAAGCAACATTTTAAACCAGACATTTGAGATTCCCAATCAGACATGTCCGGCACATATGGCCTGTTTCCGGACCCCTGAACGTGGGTTGTCTGCATAATCGCTGTACCAAAAGGGATCTTAAGCATGTTTTAAGTCCAGTCAATGATGATAATCATCAACTGGCACAATCTCGATGAAGTAACTGTGTAACTGGAGGACACGGAGCTACCAAGTAGAAGAACATTCAGACAAGACTGTACAGGAACTATCATCTGAGTCATGTTAAACAGGAGTGATACATGAAGAATCCGCAGTGTCCTTGCAAAAGAAGGTAAATCCTGAGAGAGTTGATCTCAAGAGATCGTGAGGTTAGCAATCTTTCGTGGAGCGATTGTGTGATTGTGTGTAAATACATTTTGAAGGAATCTTCCGTTAGATGTTCACACTTTGAACAACACTTTTCAACACTCCACCAGCCACAGCAGTTACAACATAAGTCATGATGGTCAGAGTTGGAAAAAGTATGCCTACACCTCCGACAGGGAATTTTCTTTGTTCATCCTCCCTCAGAAAGGAACATAAATCTATATGATGTTGTCTCAAATCATCAAAAGGCACCAGTTCAACACTAGACTGATCTGCATAGAAAGTGTCAACAAGAAATATTAAACAGTTTAGGAGTTCTGCTCTGGAAATGGAAACGGGCAGCTTGACATGCTGATCACTATATTCCCCCCATTTTTTAAAACAGGGGGATAATAAGGATCCAAAACATAATCCCAATTGAATTTTGGTCCAAGTGATGTGGCTAATTGTAAACAACACGCAGCCACGTTACCTGCTTTGGCTATAGTCTGTTTCATAATCAATAATTATATTTAGTGAATAAAACATTTACACCTGATTATTATTCCTGCTGACTATTTTACTTGAAATATGACATTGTTATTGTAAATAAATAATAACACTAAATAATAAACATCTCCAGGGGAGTACAATAAATTGATGGTATTAATAACGCGTGGGGTCTGACGTGACGTTGATTAATGAATAATTTGCATACTCGTATATGCAAGGGGCCAACGTATGGTTCTCAGTAGGAAGTGACAACTTGGTGACGATGGCTTGCGGTATATACAGTTTTACTTTATACATGTAGATATATACATACAAAACGCACTATGTGCCAGGTCAGCACATAGTGGTAGTGGTTGTTGTCTAGGTGCCCCGGAGCACCCAGCCTAACCCTAGCTACGCTAAGGGTAAGACCTTTCTTTTTTCTCTTTCTTTGGACCAAGGCTTATATAGCCAAGGTCACCTGACATTTAGTAAGTAATAAATATAAATGTAAACAGTAAATCATCAGTGACATACTTGCACATCTGGCTCAGGATGGCAGACGGTCGATGTACACAAAAATTGGGATTAACAAATAGGATTAGCATCTTATAAATAACAGCAATTAAGTGTTTCAAGGCATAAAGATGTCATGGCTCCAGGGTAATGAGCCTTTGCAATTAAATGTTCTTCAGACGATGGGTGTCGTAAATCAGTTGCTTTGACAGTATCTGGAAGCCATGGATTCAAAACAACAGTTTGTCAAAGCTTATTGTATTGTTCATAAAGGAAACAAAATGTTTTCTTATGTTACTGTACCATCTCTTTACCTTTGATAAAATATTTATTTATCATTTCAATTTATCAGGCAGTTTAATAAAATCCAAAGATCTGCATTTAAATGAAGTGATTGCACTTTATATATTCATACAAATAAAAATTAATTCCAGCTTGTATTTTCTTCACATGAAAGCTTTCATAATGTTTGCAATATACACAGAAGTGAATATATTACAGGGACCTACATTAATAACTGTTCAGGTAGGAGACAAACCTGTGACACCAGTTCTTCTTCCCCCTTGTCAAACATCTTAGACAAAGCTTCTGCAGCCAATGCGATCATGTCTCTTCTCACTTTCATTGCAAGCTTCATGGCACCAATGCAATCTGTGGCGGCCATACTCCGTATGCAGAGCTGACATTAGAACAAAAACACAAGAAGAAAGACATTTAAGGAAATCCTTTATGACTTCTTATATGCTTAATGAATGAACTAGGAAGATGTTTGCATTACATGCAAGGATAACAAAGATATAAATAAACACTTCTGGTTTAAAAATCTCAATGCTTCTGTCAAACCCTTTTTGAAGAGTGTGTTGCTAGCCGTGCATCTGCAGTCTCTTATATTACGTAAGACATGTTCAATTTTCTAAATATCAAAACCTTCAGAAGTTTATGTTCCTCAAAAAGAAAATCCTGCGAGTTTCTTGGCATACACCCACCAATAACGGCCATTGTTGACTTGAGGCACTTCCTTGAGTGGCATGCATTCCAACGGTTTCTATATAATGTTATCATTTTTTCTTCATTTGACCATAAATTTGTATCATAGTTATATTTTAGCATTGTTTTGTTTGGCAACAATATCGAACAATAGTTATAATTGTTAACAATTCAAAGAATACTACCTCTGTTACATCTTTGCCATAAATCCTGTATTTTGGCTTCAGTCACACTAACTAAAATTTTCAGATTTTCAACAGACGTCCTCTTCACTATCAATCACACAACTAGTTGTTCCCAAATAGGATTGTAGCCAATCAAGCTATAACGTATGCAATGGCGGGAATCTTCACTTCTTCCCACATCTAACTACTAGAGGTAGATGAATTGGGGAGGTGGGAGGGAGTACTTCGGATGTATTGTAATAGAGGTAGTATTCTTAGAATTATTAACAATGATAACTATTGTTTGATAATTCTTGCGAATCCTCTACCTCTATTACATCTTTGCCAGAAAATATCAGAGGGACCCTGTGGGATCTGCCTCTAGTAACTCCCTGTGTAATTGACAGTATTCTCTCCTGGAAACCATTATTCTCTGATTCCAATCCTAACCCGAGATAATTTCCCTCTGAAATTCCCCCTGAGGATTATCGTTATATTTCCTGATCTTGATGATAAAAATATAGTCATTTCTGGTCTATTTTTACCCAATGGCGTCATTTCATGTTAAATTTGGATTTGTGACACTAATACCAGTGCTGATGTCACTTCCAGTGCTGACGTCACTTTCGGTTTGTCACATCCGTTATCGGATAATGACGTCTCTCAAGGTCTCTTTCTACCAAAGATGTCATTTCCTAATTAGGTACTTCCGGTTATGATATCACTTCTAGTGATGACGTCACTTCAGGTCACTGAAGGCAGTTAATACTCAAAGTGACCCTAATCCATCCTACACCTTCTATTAATAGACAGGATAAACAAGGGTGTACTCACCCTCTGATGCTGCTGGTGTCGGATCCTGGCCCCCCTCCCACACATTCTATTTCGATAGAAGGGGGAGGAAACTATTGGTGGATGATACTTTGCGCCGCAACGATGTGCCCCAGGAAATATATGCCCTGTAGGTCCGGCTGGACGTCTCACAAGTAAAAGCTGGTGGAGGTGTTCTGTGAGGCCCACTGACAGCTAGACACCACTTGTTCTACTGAGACTGATGTCCATGAAGCGAGACTCGTGGCTAAGGTTCTTATCTCATAAGCTGAGCAGGATCCCAAACATGGTTTGGTATTATGTGCTTGTGTGTAACTCTCTGTAACCGTAGTTTTAAGCCATCCAGCTATTGTAACCTTGGTGATGTCTTTGTTGGATTGAGTCTTGCAAGATATAAAAAGTCTCCTTCGATGGCGTCCATGAGGGTCTGTAGCCGAGAGATAGAATTTTAGAGCTCTGATGGGACATAAAAGTCTGTCTTGGTGATCCACTGTTGGTCAAAAAGCAGGAATGGTAAAGTATCTATGACCTAACAGTCCAATTGTAGCAGACTGATTCTTGGCTACAATGTCTGGGAGTGATCTTAGAGTGACTGAGGTCCATTGTTGATCATGAGTGAGACTAGAATAGTCCAAGGCATGGGGTTCTGAAACTCTTGCTGCTGTTGCCATGGCTAGAAGGAAGGATGCTTTCCTGGATTTTTGGAGTAAGGTGGCCTTAGCCATGGGCTTGGAAGGTTCCGTTAAAAGTGTCGATAGTACTACAGATAGCTGGGGAAGATACAAGGTGTGCGAACATCTTCGAGTAGTAAGGATCTCATTAGTCTGTTTAGAATGGGATGGTTTCTGATTGAGAGTCTGTCATGCTGTAGAAAAGAATGAAGAGCCGATCTGTAACATTCTATCGTCCCATGTCAGAATTTATTGTCCTGACGTAGATGTATTAGAAAATCTGCTACCATTGGGATAGATATAGCATTAATTTCAATCTCTTGTCGTCTTCTCCAATGGACAAACTTTTCCCATCTGTTGCCATATAAAAGTGAGGATGAAGGTCTCAATGATCTTGCAACACCTTCTGAGGCAAGCTCAGAGTACATGGATGTCTGCATCTTTTACGTGATAACTTCCAGGCGGTTAGATGTAGGCTGGGCAGATTGTCACGGAAAATGCTGGACCTCGGTTGTCTTTGCAGATCTCGACGGAGAGGTAACTGGATGGGTTCTTCCAGCAGTAGTCTTAGTCTGGGGAACCACGCCCTGCTGGGCCAGATTGGTGCTATCAGGATTATCATGCAATCCGTCTCCTCCACCTTGTGGATGACCTTGTCTAGGAGGGACCAAGGTGGGAATGAGTAAGCAAGTAGACCCGTCCAGTCCATCGATAGTGTGTCGATCTGGTGAGCTCTTGGGTTGGGTACTGGACTGACATAGACCGGAAGTTGACGATTCAGGCAGGTGGCAAACAGATCTTGGTGAGGTGTGTCCCATAACGTAGTTATCCAAACAAAGATCTGGGGATGTAAGGTCCATTTTGTTGCCAATATTGTCCTCTGGCAGGAAAGGCTGTCTGCAAGGATTTTCAATTTCCTGGGTAAATGTCTCACTTTCATCCGGCAATTAATGTAGTCTGCCAAGGCAAACAATCGTGTAGTCTCCGTCATCAGGGAGCTGGATCTGGTTCCTCCTTGTTTCTGGATGTAAGCCACTACTGTGGTGTTGTCCGTGGCTGTGAGGATGGATCATTGAGATAGACGTATCTTTCATGCTAGGATGGCGTAATAGATGGCCTTCATTTCCTTGCAGTTGATATGAAGGTTCTTCTCTCATGTGCTCCAAGATCCCTGTACCGTGAAATTGTCCATATGAGCTCCCCATCCCGAATCTGACGTGTCTGTGAATAGATGGTGTTTGGGCATAGGATAAGTCAGAGGGATGCCCTTCATCACATGTTCTCTGTGGGTTCACAAATGCAGGTCTCGTACTACTTTGGTAGGTGACTGAGTCTTGAATTCTTCCTTCCTCTGAAGGTCATATGCTGTAGAGACGTTTAGTTGCCTAGAAGAGACATCCACCATCTCAGTGACTTGCTGGGTTGACATGATAGTGATTGAATCATTGTGATGGACTTGATGAATCGATCCTCTGGTGGGCAAAGATATCCCTTGTTTAGTTGGAATCTTGCTCTGATGTATATGATGTCTTGAACCGGAGTAGTCTCAGACTTGGATGGATTGACTAGGATAAGGTGGGCCAAGAATATCATGTTCTGGTGTAGCTGAGCTTTCTCTTGGTCTACAGCCAGGAAATCGTCCAGGTATCCTTGGATTCAAACCAGCTGGGGATGGGCAAACCTGATGACTGGCGCTGTAATCCTGGTGAATAGCCAAAGGGCTATCGATATTGCGAATGGTGAGACCTGGAACTCGTAACGTCGACCATTGATTGTGAAGCGTGGATATTTGCGTGATGATGGGTGTATCGGGATGTGAAGAGAGGCATCCTGTGGATCGAGGATCTGGAATTTTGGCGGAGGTACCAGGAATTTTGTGTTCAGGATCTTTAGGTTGATTATCATTCTCAAGTCGGTCGTATTCTTCTTCGGGACTAGGAATACCGGAGAACAAAAGCCCTGGGTGTTGTTGGTCTCCGCTTGTCTCTGAATGGCTCACTTCTTTAGAAACTTCCTGACGACCAGATCTGCTGCCGCCAGCTTGGCTCTGACTAGATGAAATCTGCATCCGACGGCTTGGGTCTTCAAGATAGGATGTTTCTTGAAGTGCATGTATCTGTCAATTAATCAGTCAGGCAAAGTTTGCTTCCAATTTTCGGGTTATGACCACCTCTCACTGGTCCCGGAGTCGGTATTATGGTGAAAGACGGTAGGCGTAAATCTCAATCCATAGACATAACCAGGTCGAAAGGGTCTATAATGTTGGCGTGGGTGGCAGGGAAGTCAGAATCTGCGTTTGCCTTTTTCCACTAGATCTAGATCACGGCGATAGGATCCTTGTTTGTTGTAGTCTGGCTGGCGAAAGGATTCCTGAGAAGACTGGCGCTTCCCGGAGGGGAAAAACTTCTTCTTAGGAGGCTGTTTGTAAGATGAGTCTTTCTGGTCCCAGGAATGCTTCTGGGGGTGGGAATTTCCATGAGCCTTGGCAGCTAGGCTGATAGTTGGTGCTTGGAATCATTCGTATCTTGTCTGACTTCATGTATTTCTTGTCCCAAAATCCTGTTGAATGTTGTGGGAGCTGATATGGGCTGTGACATGATCAATTTCTTGGTTTGGTTAGAAACATCTATAGAACGAACCTGAGCTAGAAGTTGTTGACGCTGCAGCCATAGTAGCTGTGAAGACATCTAGACTTTGGTGGAAAGTAAGTCTTCCTGCATTTTTGCAATAGTATCTAGTAGGCTGTGAATGAGTCCGACTTGATAGTCATGGGCATATCTCTGCTTATGCCTTCATATGATGTCTGTAATGGTTGAATGATGTGTCTGATTCCGGCGACATAATAATAATCATGGTAGTCTGCCATGTAATCCCTGTGTGGTTCATCCGCTGCCAGTGTCCAGGAATTTCGGTATGATTAACATCCATGCGGCTTGTGATGGCTGCCCGTGAGTAACAGGTCCCGTACGGTGATCCTCCTCTCGTTCAGTATAACGGTTGGCTGGACGGTCCCGTGTGGTCCGTGTGGCTGGCTTGAGTGACGTCTGCTTATGAAGATCATACGGAAGGCGGATCGACTGGACGGTAGGTGGATTAGCCATAGAGTCTGTGCTGTAGTTGGTTGGCCAGCTGGGTTATCCTAGCGTCCGTGTGGTGGCCGTAAGGTGTCTTAACGGTTGGCTGTGTGGACAGCCGGTTGGACAGTGTCATGTGGTCCATGTGGCAACCGTACGGTGTCTTGACTGGGACCCAAGAGTCAATCTAGCTGTCCGTGTAACACGGTAAGGAAAAGCCTGCAGGCTTATACCCGGCTGGTCGCCAGGCTGATCGGACGGCTGGTCAGTCAGCAGGCTGTACGGCTGATCGGTTGGTTGTACTGGCTAGTTAGTTGTCTGGATGGTACGGTCCACTGGGGTAGGCCCTATGGTCGTAGCAGACGGCTGTGCCCATGTGGTCTCTTGACCTGGGGACTCTTCTTAGCCAGAGGTGCTTGCTTAATCTTCTTCATTTCTTTGTTGATTTGTGAGAACTTCGTCTCAAACATTGTCTTCATCATAACTTGTTGCTGTTGGAAGAGATCATGTATAATGCTCATAGAGAGTGTAGGAGATGGTTCTGCTGGCGGTCGACTTTGGGTAGAGGGAGGATGCGCTGGGGAACAGTGTCAGTAGCCATGATACCCTCTACTTTCTTCTTAACCACTTCCCGCCTCTCAGCCTTCATGATAGCCTCAGCCTTCTGGAAGGCCTTCTTTGAAGTATGGGCGCACTGCTCACACCTAACCTCTTCAGTACATACAGTACCTCTGTACCTCATGCAGTTAAGATGAGGATCTCCTGTGATCATGAATCGACCACGCTTCTTACGACCTCACAGCAACACCAAACACCAGCTTATACTCACATGCGTGCGATCGTCACTCCAGTAAGCAGCCTTATAAAGATCTACTTACTGTGTCTGTTTTATAGAAACAGAATTAAAATAATAGCAACTATTAGAATAATCTTAGATTAATGTGACTAAATACCAGGTGTCAGATCGTTACAACTATATAATAGGTGTTGACTCTAGCACACACAAGGAAGAAGTTCCTGACATTCCTTTGATTGGTTACGATGCTATTTGGTAACAACTAGTTGTGTGATTGACAGTAAAGAGGACATCAGTTGAAAATCTAAAACTTTTAGTTAGTGTGACTAAAGGCAAATACAGGATTTATGGAAAACATGCACGTATTGAATATAAAGTCTTAAATTAACTTTGATGTATGGTAGGACTTTAAGTAAATGTAATGACATTCCATGAAAGAATATGACTCGAAAATTCAATAAATAGTACTGTTTAAGTGATGTCCGGGTACTACCTCGATGGAAAAAAGTGGAAAGGGAGTACTGAGACATGTTTTTTTTAAATTTATCAATTAAAGATAGTCACATTTTAACATATAATACTTTATCTTTAGTATACATAGTGACATATAAATAATTACTACTTAATGCATGATTTATGAAAAAAAATGGAAATTAAATCTTTATTTGCGTATATATCATAAAGGAATTATATTTAGATGTCTAAATTCAACCTATTCATAAAATAAAGTAGATTTTCTTTGAAAACATTCTTAATAGTCTGTGTGTCATTATCTATTATTGCATTTTAATTTTATGGATTTTTAAAATGTGTATAGAATCTCTTCTATTTATTTCGATATACTAACATATTTTACCATATTTAGTAGGGTTGGGAATTGGACCAAAAAGTGTATTGCGATATATTGCAATATTTCAAAAACATATTTCAATATTATTGCAATATATTGGGAAATAATTTCTACCAAGAAAAAAGCTTTTTTTCATATCCCTTTGACAAATATTAATATGAAAGCTGCAATGTTAACAATTTGGTCAAAATTATGAACCAATTTTAATAAATTGTACTATTATTTTTATCTACAATCAAATAAAGAGTATGAAGCATTTGTTTTGTCTTTGTTTTGATTTAATAAGGTAAGACTATACATCATGGCAAATACATGTCAGTCACAATTTGAATAATGAGGGAAAAACCGATAGGCCAAAAACGTATCGCGATACGTATCGTGATGAATTTGTATTGCAATATACCGGTATACCAATAAAACCGCACATCCCAAATATTTAGTAATTTTGAGCCAACTTAACGTAAACCTTTGTTTGAAATCTAAAAAAAGGACGTTGAAGCAGTAACCGCTTGCTGTGTCTTATGTTATTCCTCAAACTAGACTCTGTGATAAATGATACAAAAAGTGGGAATGGAATATCAAAAAGAGGAATAGGATCAACACGCCCACTGGGTTACACAAATTTCAAAGATTGGGTATGGTCGTGCCAAAATAGACTCATTATAGTGTTGGTCATACATGTATGTCAGGTATATCAAGACACATATACACGTATCTATCATATATAGATAACTGTAGTATTTACATTTGCATCTTACATTTATATGAATTACCTAACATGATTATATTGCGGCATATGTATGTTGTGTGCGAGATACAGCTGAAACACTACTCGTTATTATAAACTTAAATACTTGTATATTTTCTTTCTTTCGATAGGTATTGTTTCATTTTCTTCACTTGTTCCCCCTATATTCATGGCCTTGATGGTGGTTCTTGAACCCGACATCAGGTTTGACAGGAATGCAATGTAAAATCATGATGCAGAGGTGCGACCACCATCACAGAGACTAGTAGTCTGAGATATTGCTGGCGTTATGTCGGTTGTGTAACAAGACAGTTGTTAGCTCAATATTTAGGACAACATTATCAGTATAACCCTATTGTACACCGAGAGGGTGACTCAAATTCATTGTTTACCGCATGTACAGTCAATTGATGAACCAGCTATGTTAAACTAAGGCTAAACAAAATAATAGTCTTGGTTCTCAGGCAACACCCGCATCATCATAAAGTCTGCAGCACGTTTTGTTTTTATTTCCATATTAAAAAATATATATAAAAATCCCAATACTTAAACACAATGCACAAAAAAAATTGAAAATGGAAAAAAAGACGAAACATGCAATGAACTTTATGATGATGTGGGCAGTGCCTGAGAACCAAGACTATTATTTTGTTTAGCCTAAGCGTCTGTAAAATAACCAGTCATGTATGATAAGCCATTCAATTTTAATTCCATTGCAATTAATAAAAAGCAACTTATGAAGTGTCTGACTTCTGACTCTGCTGTCCGGGTACAGCCGACTGTGTCCAAGTACTACCGAAGCTGTCGTCAAGTTAACAGTATCCAGGTTCAGGCCTGTTGGTCAATTTTGAAACCACCAGCAGTTGTCTCCCTTTATATCAGCAATTTTCCATTCAAAGCTGATGATTAGTTCATGTGTTGCATTGCGATGATTGTTATGTGTCTGGGTATTGCCTCCCCTGCACTCTATATATACCAGTATATTGCATTTTTGTATTTCTGATAGACACAAGGATATGCCAGGAATAAAATAATTCTTAAATGTCTTTCCATTTTCCCAGCAGAAGTATTTTGCTGTGTTCGAGAGATCTATAAACCTAAAACTCAAAAATGCGTTCCCTGTGCCTACTTTAAGAAATATTTGTTGTGTTGGAAGCTTTTAATAAAAGAAACACTTACCTCATTACAAGCCAGCTGATAAGCAACCTGGATAGCTGCTTTGGGGATTGCATTATTTCTTGAAGACATCACCTGGAACACCCTTGGCACATAACCCAGCTGTGGCACTTGATCTAGTAATGCCTGTTGAGTTTGGAAGAGACACACCACTGCAGTTGTCACTGTTTCAAGTACCTCTCCCTGAAATACACACATTAACACATTTTTCACAAGAAGAACAAGGATTAGATGATACGGTTCTACTTTATGGCAAAATGTAGGCCTACCTTGGGGGCTCTTGGTTGAATGCTACCTCGTTTTGGGGGATTTATAGTCCTTTCCATATCAGTATAATGTGGAATGGACTATAGGTCCCTCCAAGTAGTGGTAGGACGCCACATCTGGGATGGTCCAGGTCCACGACCCCAGGATTTACACATTCCAGGGATATTCCTGCGTTCATGATCCAGGACAAATAACATTCCAAGAGACCGTCCGAGTCCACGACATGAGGCAACATGTCTCCACGCATTGAGTCCTACTGCTGCTTCATGGTTCATGACCTCCGACAGTTCATGACCACTGCATTACTATGCAACAGAGTCAGCCCCCTAGCACCAATGAATTTCCTGTTAATAAATATTTATATGTATTATCACATTATGTTGTTGCGGAACAAGGGGACACGGGTGGCCCAGTCGTCTGAGGCGCCGCAAGTGCTGTCCAGAGTTGCGTCCCTTGGGCGTACCAGAAACCTATGATTGTTGTTTCGAATCCCGGTTCGCCCCAATTATGTTTCTAGGTTTGTAAGCACGATACCCGTGCTCGTGGGTTTCACCGAAGTGGTAAACATCTAAGACCTGCATCACTTCGGGCTTTCCTTCCACATTAAGCTGAACACGCCACGATATAACTGGAATAGTGTTAAAAGCGACGTTAAACCCAACTCACTCACTCACTCACTGTTGCGGAACAAACCGGTGAAACAATGCCCTATTACGTCAGCCTAGCAACAGAGTTGCTGGGGTCATCGAGTGTGCATAGGCTCCTCTCAGTGATCCATCACCTCTCCAGTGTCAGTGAATAAGCCCAGCGATGTTGAGAGTTTTGAATATTTATTAACTAAATATAGCCTATGGCGGAGCATTTTTTTAGCAAGCACTAGTTTATGAAAGCAATTATACTTTCAAATAAATTTAATACTTCGGTTGTAACTTATTATATGGGGCGAAAAGGATTATAAAATGGGAACTAATATACATAGGAGTAATGTATATTTTGATTCATTAATTTTCATTATTATGCACAGGATTGGAGTTTATTAGGTATATTATATTGACACTACACACTTCCAAATGTTGCCGGTCCTAACACTACCTTCGGAAAACTTTTGAAATTTACATATTACATTGTTGCAATGCAGAACAGTTAACTACAAATTATACAAAGTTTCAACTCTGATTCTGTATGTGCCTTTTGAGATTTATTTTTCTTATGCCATAAAATGTTTCCAATCATTTTATTACTGATAAATGTATGATCTTAAGGCTTTTCATTGAACTAAACCTCATAAAAAATATGGATATTACAGTCTGCAGTATCTAAGAAAACAGAGACTAGAAATGTTACACCCCAATCACCACCTTTCTTCTAACACTGACCAAAAGTTTTTCAAAGAGGAAGGTATATCAGTCAGGTTTTGAGGCGTACAAGGATGCATTTAATGGACACTCGTTTTGGATCTGGGCAGCGGTGAGGGCCAACATTCCAGATCACATGATCCAGACCTTAGGGCAATGGTCATTTCAGTGCTATACATGGTATATCCACACATCCAGAAACTCCATTGCCAACGCCCACAGACTTATGGTTATTATCTCTTGAATTTCCTCTCAGGAAGTCATATGCTAGGGGACCAGGGCATACTACATGTCATTCATGATAAGATGATCGTTTACGTTTACCCCTCATGTCAGTGTGTACACTCAGAACTTGGTAAGGCTCTATGCCGCCTATTGTTAGGGCACATTTGTCTGCATGTGGCCAGGGCATAACTAACTATTCACACATATCTCTGTTATCATTCTTATCATGATATTCAGGTTTGTGTACACATTCAGTTTATTCCATCCACGCACATCTCAGTATTCATGATTTAATATGTTTTCTTGTTTTAGTAGGTGCTTGTCAGTATAGGACAAGCCGTCTCAGTATTCATATGATTGACCCTGTTTTCTTGTTTAGTAAGTACGAGTCAGTAGGACGAGCCGTCTCAGTATTCATATGATTTACCCGGTTTTTCTTGTTTAGTAGGTGTTTGTCAGTATAAGACAAGCTGTCTCAGTATTCAAATGATTTACCCTGTTTTCCTGTTTAGTAGGTGCTAGTCAGTAGGACGAGCCGTCTCAGTATTCAAATGATTTACCCTGTTTTCCTGTTTAGTAAGTATGAGTCAGTAGGACAAGCCGTCTCAGTATTCAAATGATTTACCCTGTTTTCTTGTTTAGTAGGTGCTTGTCAGTAGGACAAGCCGCCTCAGTATTCAAATGATTTACCCTGTTTTCGTGTTTAGTAGGTGCTAGTCAGTAGGACGAGCCGTCTCAGTATTCAAATGATTTACCCTGTTTTCGTGTTTGGTAAGTACGAGTCAGTAGGATGAGCCGTCTCTGTATTCAAATGATTTACCAAGTTTTCTTGCTTAGTAGATGCTTGTCAGTACAAGACAAGCCGTCTCAGTATTCATATGAATTACCATGTTTTCTTGTTTAGTAGGTGCTTGTCAGTAGGATAAGCCATCTCAGTATTCATATGATTTACCATGTTTTCTTGTTTAGTAAGTACCAGTCAGTAGGACGAGCCATCTCAGTATTCAAATGATTTACCCTGTTTTCCTGTTAAGTAGGTGCTAGTCAGTAGGATGAGCCATCTCAGTATTCAAATGATTGACCCTGTTTTCTTGTTTAGTAGGTGCTTGTCAGTAGGACAAGCCGTCTCAGTATTCAAATGATTTACCATGTTTTCCTGTTTAGTAAGTACGAGTCAGTAGGACGAGCCGTCTCAGTATTCAAATGATTTACCCTGTTTTCCTGTTTAGTAGGTGCTTGTCAGTATAAGACAAGCTGTCTCAGTATTCAAATGATTTACCATGTTTTCTTGTTTACTAAGTACCAGTCAGTAGGACGAGCCATCTCAGTATTCAAATGATTTACCCTGTTTTCCTGTTTAGTAGGTGCTAGTCAGTAGGATGAGCCATCTCAGTATTCAAATGATTGACCCTGTTTTCTTGTTTAGTAGGTGCTTGTCAGTAGGACAAGCCATCTCAGTATTCAAATGATTTACCATGTTTTCGTGTTTAGTAAGTACGAGTCAGTAGGACAAGCCGTCTCAGTATTCAAATGATTTACCATGTTTTCCTGTTTAGTAGGTGCTTGTCAGTAGGACGAACCGTCTCAGTATTCAAATGATTTACCCTGTTTTCCTGTTTAGTAGGTGCTAGTCAGTAGGACGAGCCGTCTCAGTATTCAAATGATTGACCCTGTTTTCTTGTTTAGTAGGTGCTTGTCAGTAGGACAAGCTGTCTCAGTATTCAAATGATTTACCCTGTTTTCCTGTTTAGTAAGTATGAGTCAGTAGGACGAGCTGTCTCAGTATTCATAAGATTTACCATGTTTTCCTGTTTAGTAGGTGCTAGTCAGTAGGACGAGCTGTCTCAGTATTCATATGATTTACCATGTTTTCCTGTTTAGTAGGTGCTAGTCAGTAGGACGAGCCGTCTCAGTATTCAAATGATTTACCCTGTTTTCCTGTTTAGTAGGTGCTTGTCAGTATAAGACAAGCTGTCTCAGTATTCATATGATTTACAATGTTTTCTTGTTAACTAAGTACGAGTCAGTACGACGAGTCGTCTGAGTGTTCATAGGATTCACCATGTTTTCCTGTTATTGGGTGCTAGTCAGTAGGATGAGCCGTCTCAGTATTCATATGATTTACCATGTTTTCTTGTTTAGTAGGTGCTTGTCAGTAGGACGAGCAGTCTCAGTATTCATATGATTTACCAAGTTTTCTTGCTTAGTAGATGCTTGTCAGTTTAGGATGAGTTGTCTCACTATTCAAATCATTTACCATGTTTTCTTGTTCAGTAAGTACGAGTCAGGAGGACGAGTCGTCTCAGTATTCATATGATTTACCAAGTTTTCTGGTTTATATTTTGTATTTATGGTGATATGTACTGAAATTGAGTGTAATGTATTAATGTATTTATCACCATTCTCCAGCTATTGTTAAGTTATGTTTGTCAATTTATTATGTGACAAATATTCTTTAATATTTAGAGCAATATAAGATAAAACTAATTACGACTGATCATAACAATGTATATGATCATATATAAGATTCTAATAATTGTTAATAAGTTATTATGTAATGTAATGTTTTATTTGTATGTGTAGGTATTGTGCAGATTTTAACTCTGTGTATTTATTTTCACAGGGCCTCTGTTCATTACTTCAATTAAACAACTGTCATCAACAAATCAACCTGTGTTTAGTGATTCATTCACCTAAACCACTCCGGTTACATAAGCACGTGTACGGATGTAGTTAAAATTATTAACATGCGCAGTCACCCAATTCCAAGGCAAGAGCATGCGCACGCATCCACTTCCGGAAGCAAGCGCATGCGCAGTCAGCAAATTCCGGTGCTTTTTTATCGTACCCACCACCACCCTCATGCTCTTTTGTGATCTGATTACTGTTTTGTTTCATATCATGCCATATCCAGGCTTTTCATTGTGTTAGGGTTTTCAAATAAATTATTAGTCGGAACTCATCCTCATTACATCATGTGGAATACATAGGGAGCACTTATCCACATTACATCATGTGGAAAACATAGGGAGCACTTATCCACATTACATCATGTGGAAAACATAGGGAGCACTTATCCACATTACATCATGTGGAATATATAGGGGGCACTTATCCACATTACATCATGTGGAATATATAGGGGGCACTTATCCACATTACATCATGTGGAAAACATAGGGAGCACTTATCCACATTACATCATGTGGAAAACATAGGGAGCACTTATCCACATTACATCATGTGGAAAACATAGGGAGCACTTATCCACTTTACATCATGTGGAAAACATAGGGAGCACTTATCCACATTACATCATGTGGAAAACATAGGGGG